CAGCTGCTCGGTCCCCCTGAAGAGAGCAGGAGCCGTCGGTCCCGGTGGCTCCCCTCTGCCGCCCGCGCTGGGCATTCGTCTGCCAGGAGAACAGGGGGGTGCTCAGGACTGGGGATTAATCAGAATTTGGTCCCTTCGGTACTTGACCGCTGGCACAGGGGCCAGGAGGATGCCAGTGCCACGTCTGTTGTAGACAAAACCTATTTCCTCGTACGTTATTTGCTTTTCACTGTTTATTTGCTTACCAAATACCCTGTCAGCAGAGGTGGTGGCAGCGCAAATGTTGCTGAACTGCAGCGACGGGGCCGGCTTGCTCGGGGCTATGTGATTGCTGATCCAGATGGATCCCAGAAAGATTCGGGGGTCTGTGGGGATCCAGCCTGGGCAGGCAGCTCCGGGTGCCGCTGCTGGGGGTCACAGCTCCCGCCTGCAGTCGCCAAGGGTTGACGAGACCCTCGGGATGCTGATCCCAGCCCGGGGAGTCACCCCTGGCCTAAGGCTGGGCCCCCTGTGAGTGGCATGGGACTTGGGGTGCCACGTCGGGGGTCTCGCACACAGTTTGTCCGTAGAGGTGCGCTCCGTGCCCCACAGCCGCCAGCTGCGGACCCCCACGGCGGCGAGCCCGGCTGCCTGGTCTCCCCCTGTGGCACCACTGCATCTCTCCTGCCCTGCAGCCTGCCCCGGGGTCTGTCCATGCAGAGCCCTGCGGATGGGGTCCCCTTCCTCCGAAAGGGGCGCAGGAGGAGGAGGACCGAAAGTGCTGAGAGGAAGGAGCCCAGGGCTTCTCAGGTCTGACCTGAGACCCGCACAGGCGGCCAGGAGCTGGGCTGCAGCACGGCCCTGCCCGAGGGGCTCCGGCTGTGCCCACCGCCAGCCCACACGGCTCCTACCCAGCCCTGCTGCTCTGCAGCCCTGCCTGTCATTTACTGGTGACCGCGGCTCCTACAGTCCTGCACGGGCAATTAAGGCAGGCTAATAAACAATCATAATGAAGGCATCGTGGCCTCTAAAACGCCAGGGAGGAGCGCCATCAGGTATCAACAGTGAACCAAATCGCCAAGGGCAGCGACAGCCCCACTCGCCCCCCTGACCCCGAGCTGTCGCGGGGACAGCGCGGAGCCGTGGCTCTGCATACGCGGCTCCTACAGTCCTGCACGGGCAATTAAGGCAGGCTAATAAACAATCATAATGAAGGCATCGTGGCCTCTAAAACGCCAGGGAGGAGCGCCATCAGGTATCAACAGTGAACCAAATCGCCAAGGGCAGCGACAGCCCCACTCGCCCCCCTGACCCCGAGCTGTCGCGGGGACAGCGCGGAGCCGTGGCTCTGCATAAATGCAGATGCTGAGACAGAAAAGGTGCCGGGTTCCCGAGGAGCCAGGGCACAGCACGGACGTGTCACGCACAGCACCTTGCACGGCTCTGGTCCCTGTAAAGCTTCTCCAGCCCTGCCTGACTTAAACCAACAGCGTCTGCCAGCCGGGGGAGCCTGGGCTGCCTGACAAAGCTTTGAACTTGGCCTTGGACAGGCTGGGGAGTCTCTCCTGCCTGTTCCTCGCTTTTGCTGTTGTGAAAACGATGTTGGAGGCATTGACCCCCCCTCTTGGCTTGCAGAAGAATGGG